TGAGATGGTACTGCATTATTGTTTTGATTTCCATCTCTCTGATGTTAGTGACATTGAGCTGTTTTTCATATGTATCTTTGCCTTCCTTCTATCATCTTTCAAAAAGTGTCCATTTAGATCAGTTGTGATTTTTTTTATTGGGTTGTTATCTTCTTTTTGTTAATCTGCATGAATTCCCTGTAAATGTTGGAGATTAAATCCTTATCATTTATATCATTGGCAAATATGTGGTTTATTTTTGAAAATGTCCCATGTGCACTTGAGACAAATGTATATTCTGTGGCTTTGGGGTGAAATGTTCTGTAGATGTCAATTAGGTCCATCTGATCTAGGGAGTCATTTAGAATTACCATTTATTTGCTGATTTTTTTCTCTAGAGTATTTATCCAGTGATATCAATGGTGTATTAAAGTCCTCTACTATGATTGTATTGTTGTTGATCTCTTCCTTGATATCAGGATTGGTTGTTTTTTATTTTTTATTTTTTATTTTATGTATTTGGTTGCTCATTCATTGGGTGCATATGTTTATCAGGGTTATATCCTCTTCTTGTGTTGATCCTTTTATTATTATGAAGTGGACTTCCTTATATCTTGTCATGGCCTTTACTTTGAGGTCTATTTTGTCAGAAATAAGTACTGTCACCCACCCCAGATTTTTTTTGTTTGTTTCCCTTTGCTGAAAGATGTTTTTCCATTCCTTCACTTTCAGTCCGTACAAGTCCCTTTTGCTGAGGTGGGTCTCTTGTATACAGCATATATATATGGATCATATTTTTTTTGTTTTGTTGTTTTCCATTCATCCACTCAATGTCTTTTGATTGGAACATTTATTCTGTTTTATGTTTAACGTTATATTGAAAGGTACTTATTTGTAGCAATTTTTTTTGTGTATGTCTGTGTCCCTTCTTACATTTTTATTAATCTTTTTATACCAGTCCTTTTATCATTTCTTGCATTGCTGGCTTGATATTGATAAACTCACTTAGCATTTTTTTTTGTCTGTAAAGCTCCTCATTTCCCCTGCAATTTTGAATAATAACCTTGCTGGATGTAGTATTCTTGGATTCGATCCCTGGTTTGCATCACTTTGTAAATTTCCTTCCATTATTTTCTGGTCTGATGTGTTTCTGCTGAGAAATCATTTGATAATCTAATGGGAGTTCCCTTGTATGTAACTTTCTGTCTCTCTCTTACAGCCTTTAAGATTCTCTCTTTGTCCTGAATATTTGCCATAATAATTATGATGTGTCTTGGTGTGGGTCTTTTCGGGTTCATTCTGTTTGGGAATCCCAGTGCTTGTGTGACTTTTTCTTTGCACATCAGGGAAGTTTTCTGACATTAATTTTTTAAATAGTTCTTCTAAAACGTGTTCCTCTTCCTGTCATTCTGGGACCCATATTATTCATATGTTGTTTTGTTTCATGTTGTCCCATAGCTCCCTTAGGCTTTCCTCCTGACTTTTAATTTTGTTTCTCCAGTTGCAATTCAGTTTGGCTGTGTTTTCCTTCCTGTCTTCTAGTTTGCTAATTTGGTCCTCTGCTTCTCCTACTCTACTATTGAGACTTTCCTTTTTTTTTTTTTTTTTTACTGCAGCTATATCACTCTTCATTTTTTCTTGATTATTATATAAGGTATTGGTATTTTCTTCCATCTAGTTTATGAACTCTATGATCCTTAATCTGAATTCTTTTTCTGACACATTCCATGCCTCTGTTTCGCTTAGCTGCTTTTCTGGTGATTCCTCCTTTTCTTTCCTTTGGGGTATCTTTGTCTACCTATTTTTTATCTCACCAACTGATCTAGATTTTGAGCTGTGCAGGGGCTGCTCCATGGGTGGCAGTGGCTTCTCTGACTGTGGTTGGTCCTCGGTGGTTATGATAACAGCTGCTTCTCAGTTGGCAGCGGTTCCTTTGGTAGGTTCTGTTCCTCTGGGTGATGGGGGAGGCTGCTTGTATAGTTGCTGTTCCTTGGATGAGAGTGGCTGATTATGAGGTTACTGCTCCTCAGATGGGGATGAGTTGCTCATTTCCACTGCTCCTTGAACAAGGTCCAGCAGCTCATGTGGCTGCTGTTCCTGGGACAGGGGTGGACTGCTCACATGGCTGCTCTTCTTTAGATGGGAGCTAGCTGTGTGCTGCTGCAGTTCTTTAGATTTGACAGGCTACTTGTGATGCCACCATTCCTTGAACAAGGGCAGGTTGCTTGCAGGGCTACTGCTCCTTGTATGGGTGCAGGTTGCTCATATAGCTGCTTCTCCTCGGACGAGGGGTGGCCTGCTCATGTGGCTGCTGCTCCTCGCATTGGAGTGAGCTACTCATGCTGTTGATGCTCCTCCAACAGGGACAGGCTGCTCACCCAGCTCCTTCTCATTGGACAGGTGCAGGCTGTATGTGGGTGCTCTCCTCAGACCAGTGTGGACTGCATATGGCTTCTGCTCCTTGAACATGGGCAGTCTGCTTATGTCGCTGCTAATCCTCAGAATGGGGTGGGCTGCTCACATAGCTGCTGCTCCTCAGATGTGGGTGGGAGGGTGCTCATACAGCTGCTGCTCCTTGGATGGGGGCAGGTGGTTTATGCAGCTACAGATCTTCAGAAAGGGATGGTCTACTCACAAAGCTGCTGCTCCTCAGAAGGGGGCAGGCTGTTTGCACAGCTGCTGCTCTTTGGATAGGTGCAGTTTGTGGGCTGTGTGTAGCTGCTGTTCCTCAGAAGGGGGCCAACTGCATGGAGCTGCCACTCCTCAGTAGTGAGTGGGCTGCTCAAAAATCTGCTGCTCCTCAGATTGGACGAGCTGCTCACATGGTTGCTGCTCCTCAGACAAGGGAACTGGCTGCTCATATAGTTGATGCTCCTCGAACAGGAGCAGGACATGTGAAGCTGCTCTTAGGCCTGTGGTGGGTTGCTCGCAGGGCTGCTGCTCATTGGTCAGGTGCAGGATGCTCATATGTCTGCTGTTCACGTGGTTGTAGTGCCCTGAACTAGAGCGTTAGGCTGGTCAGAGGGAAGTGTGCTTCTGAACTCATAGGAGTCTGCTTCTGAACTCATAGGAGTCTGCGTCCAGGGTGGCTGGAGCCTCATTGACTGTGGGATCACAGCCTATGTAGCATGTCCCTGGTAGGTGTGGCTGTAGAGTCCCAGATCTTATCTGAGGGTGCTCTGGGTGGAATTGAGGCTGGGAACCCAGTTACAGCAGCTCTCCCCTTCAAAAACCTAGGCCTCTAAGGACAAACTGGCCTCCCAGTACTGTTTGCAATGGTAATAGAAGATGCCTAGTTAGGCAAGCCTGATTAGCATGCCACTGAAGGTCCTATGGGATCTAACTCTCTCTCTCTCTCTCTCTCTCTCTCTCTCTCTCTCTCTCTCTCTCTCTCTCTCTCGTACACACACATACACACACACACACACACACACACACACACACACACACACACACCACCTGACCACACACTCCTCTTTTTCTCCCTCACTCACTCATGCTCTTTCCCTCACTGCAGCAATCTTCCTGCCTCTATAGTTGGATCTGGGGTGTTACTGACCCATTCATGGATGAAGTTTCCACTCGAGGTGTCTGGTTATGTGGCTTACTCTCATGCCCTTTGGCCATACAGAATAAAATTCACCTCAACAAGACACAACACAGAGGGAACTAAGCACAAATGTACTCATGATACCTATAACCCCAATATAAGTGACCATCTGAGGGAAAAAAAGATAGGACAGAACAAAGAGAGCACAAATGCTATTGAAGAGATAGAAAAAGTAAGGGATAAAATACAAAGGAATAAAAAGAAGAATATATATATATATATATATATATATATATATATATATATATATATCACCACTGTACCAATATATAAACAAAAAAAAAAAATACAAACACCCCACATTCAGCAAAGAGGATTGGGGCAGAATCTATAGAGACTGAGCTTATATAGTTAAAATAATAATTTAAAATTTTGTTAACTCACCAATCTGTATTCTATGGGAAAAAAGAAAAAGAAAAAAAAGAAAAAAAAATATATATATATATATATCCCTCCAGTTTGAAAAAAACAAAAACAAAAACAAAACACTTCATTATCTTTTCTCTTCTCCTTGATTCTTCAAAGAGTACTGGAATGGTTCTGTGACAACATCTACCAGGTTACTTTAGAGTTTTTGGATAATCTTCATTTAGATCTAGAAGTATGACTCTTAAATTAGCCTGGGACAAAAATCTTGATTTTACTGTACTCTTGTTTTATTTCTACCAAATTTCAGTTGCTTTATTTTTTCTCTTTTTTTTTTTCTTTCATCTTATCTGTCCACCAATCCAACTAATATTTATTCAATTTTTACTGAGTCAGATACTGTGCAAGGATGCTGGCTATTTACAAAAATGGTATAGACAAGTCTCTGCCCTCAAGACGATTAGTCTAGGGCAGAGACAACACTAATACAAATATGCTTTTAATATCAAGGGCAATCTCTCTATGTCACCCCACCCCAAGAAAAGCTAAAGCTACCTTGATGTTCTGAAAAGGCTCTGTGAAGAAAATCATATTTCCTCTTGGTCATGAAGAATGAATAGGTCTTCACCAGGCGGGGGGGGGGGGGAGAGAACATTCCAAAAAGAGTAAATAATTAAGCAAAGATACAGAAGGAATGATGATCACTTTGGTTTAATTGTAATGGGAACATACTGGAAAGCAAGGGATTGGGTTGAAATTAGAGTCCACTCTTCTGGGATCCATTTAAGTCTAGCAGTATCACATTTGGGTTTTGTCCCTCACCACCAGATATTAGTCCTCTGTGATACATACCCTCTTTTCTTTTCTCCCAGCAAACACCCCACATTGCCAAGAAGCACTCCAGTTGAGAAATGGATTGATGACCCCAGTGAATAGCACACAGCCTTGGCCAGTTCCCATAGGCTGCAGGCTGCCCACTCCTGGTTACAATACAGTTCTCTCAGGAGTGTTTCCCAGCCCCTCCCCCCCTCTTGCTATATCTCACCTTCATCTCGAGGGCCTCTGGTACCTTCTTGCCTTCCCAAGCCCAACTCCTCTTGGTGAAGTAGTTGACAGTGGCAAATTCAATCAGCGCAGAAAATACAAAGGCATAACAGACGGCTATGAACCAGTCCATGGCCGTCGCATATGCCACTTTAGGTAAGGAGTTTCTGGCACTGATACTCAGAGTGGTCATAGTGAGAACAGTGGTGACACCTGGGGAGAGAAAAGATAAGAGCCCATTTGCCAATCAAAGACATTTATAGCATATTTTATAAGATCACCAACTTTCTACTTAAAAAAAGTTGGGAGCTTTACCCACCCTTCACTCAAACATTCCCTTTAAAGTAAAAAGCAGAGAATGTAAAAGTGGGGTGGTTCTACCTAGTAGCCACCCCATCCTAATTCTTGCAATAATAGGGATCTCCAGTATAACAATTATAAAAGTTGTCCTCCAGGCTGTGCTTAAATATTTCTATTGAAGAGTAGGTAACATATTTTATTGTAAGAAAGAAAAAATGTTTTCTCATGAGCTTAACCTGCCTTCCTCTAACTTCTGGTCCATTGACTGATCTCAGAGTTCTTTCTCTAGCAAGACAGAAAAGAAAAGTTTGTTCCCTCCTCAGTAGGACAGCACTTCAAAGATTTGGAGAGGGTCACTATGGTTCCTTATGAATCCATAAGGATACCAGAATATAGTTCCTTCTCTTGTTTTTCCTCCCTCATTCTGATAATTCTCTTCTAAAAAGCCCAGAACTGAGCCTGAGACTGTGGACATGGTCTGTGATCAGTAGGCTATTCACTATAATGCAACAAACTGTTGTGGAAATGATTCTTTAGTTGCATCACAGTCTAGGTCTTATTGAGCTTCACAGAAAACCAAAACTATTCCAATAGTTATTTTTGTGTTTTTGCAAAACCAGAGTTCACTTTTAGGTCAATTAATTTTTTTTTGTATTATTAATCTAAATTAAAGACTTTTCTTTATTCACTTTTAAATTCAATTTATTTATTAAATGTATTGGGGTTATATTGGCCAACATGAACATATTGATTTCAGGTGTGTTTCTGGTTACAAGATCTGTATATTGTGCCATGTTCTTACCACCCAAGATCACATCTCCTGTCACTATATATTAGGACTCCCTTCTCTCCCTCACCACCTTCCCTCTGGCAACCACCACACTACTGTTTGTGTTCATGAGTTTCCACTTTATATCCCATATGTAAGTGAAATCATATGACTTAGCTTTTTAAAAAATAAATATTTATTGTTCAGATTATTACACATGTTCCTCTCCCCCCACCCCAATAGCTCCTTTCCACCCAATTCCCCATCCCACCCCATGCCCCTACCCCCTGCTACTTTCTTCATCCATAGATGTAAGATTTTTGTCCAATCTCTTCCCAAACCCCTCACTCCCCCTTTCCCCTGAGAATTGTCATTCTACTCTTCCTCTATGCCCCTGATTCCATCATATTTACCAGTTTATCCTGTTCATCATATCTTCTATTCACTTGATTTTTAGATTCACTTGTTGAATAGACATATATTTGATGTTCATAATTTTTATCTTTACCATTTTCTTATTCTTCCTCTTCTTAAAGAACACCTTTCAGCATTTCATATAATACTGGTTTGGTGTTGATGACTCTTAGCTTTTTATGACTGACTTATTTCACTTAGCACAATGTTTTTAAGGTTCATCCAGGTTGTTGCAAATTGGAGATCTCATCTTTTATTAGCACATATTCTTTATCCAGTCCTCTATCACAGGGCACTTTGGTTGTTTCCATGTCTTGGCCACCATGAATAATGCTGCAATAAACATAGGGTTGCATATCTCTTTGTGAATACATGATTTCTAGTTTTTCAGGTATATACCCAAAAGAAGGATTGCTGAGTTGTATGGTAGCTCTTTCTTAAATTTTTTAGGACTTGCCAGACTGCTTTTCATAGTGGTTGTGCCATTCCCACCAGCAGTGAACGGGGGTTCCCTCATATTGGTCTGTAGTTTTCATTTTTTTGTGTGTTATCATTGTCAGGTTTTTGTATCAGGGTAACATTGGACTTCTAGAATGTGTTAAGAAGCACTGCCTCTTCTTCAATATTTTGGAAGAGTTTGAGAAAGATAGGTTTTAAATCTTTTTTGAACATTTGGTAGAATTCACTGGTGAAGCCATCTGATTCTGGACTTTTATTTACTTTTATTTTTTTGGAGATTTTTTATGGTTGCTTCAATTTAACCACCGCTGATTCATGTATTTAGATTTTCCAATTCTTCAGGATTTAGTCTAGGAAGATTATATATTTCAAGAAACTTTTTCTAGGTTATTGAATTTTGTGGCATATATTCTTTCATAATATTATAGTATGATCCTTTGTTTATCTGTGATATCTGTGGCGACTGCTCTCTCATTTCTGACTTTTATATGTGTCTTTCCCCTTTTTTCCTTAGTGAGTCTATCCAAGGGTTTGACAATTTTATAAATTTTTCAAAGAACCAGCTCTTTGTTTTATTAATTTTTTGTATAGTCTTTTTATTCTCTATTTCATTCAATTCTGCTCTTTTATTATTTCTTTTATTCTGCTAAGTTTGGGTTGTTTTTGTTCTTTTTCTAGTTCTTTAAGATGTGATGTTAGGTTGTTTATTTGGGATTTCTCTTGTTTCTTGAGATAGGTCTGTAATGATATAAAGTTCAATCTTATTACTGCTTTCACTGCATCCCAGAAGTTTTGATATGTCATTCTCATTTGTCTACTTATCTCTTGATCTCATCTTTTACTTCTTCTTTGACCCAGTCAGTTTCTAGTACTATGTTGTTTAATCTCCATGTACTCTTGGGTTTTTTTAGTTCGTTTTTGTAGTTGATTTTTAATTTCAAGTCATTGTGGTCAGAGAATATGCTTGGTATCACTTCAATTTTCTTTAATTTGTTGATGCTAGATTTGTGACCAAACCTATGATCTATCCTTGAGAAAGTTCCATGTGCATTGAAGAAGAATATATAATCTAATGTTTTGCGATGAAAGATTCTATAAATGTTTATTATGTCCATTTGGTATAGTGATTTACTTAAGGATGATATTTCTTTTTTTAAAAATATATTTTATTGATTTTTTTAATTTTTTTTTTTTTTTTACAGAGAGGAAGGGAGAGAGATAGAGAGCTAGAAACATCGATGAGAGAGAAACATCAATCAGCTGCCTCCTGCACACCCCCTACTGGGGATGTGCCCATAACCAAGGTACATGCCCTTAACTGGAATCGAACCCAGGATTTATCAGTCCGCAGGCTGACGCTCTATCCACTGAGCCAAACTGGTTTTGGCGATATTTCTTTTTTGATTTTCTATTTGGTTCATTTCTCTAGAGCTGTCAATAGAGTATTAAAGTCCATAGCTATGATTATGTTTTGATCTGTTTCTCCCTTTAGTTGTTTTATATATTTCAGTGCTCCCTGGTTGGGTGCATATATATTAAGAAGTGTTATGGTTTCTTGATGTAATGCCCCTTTATCATTATAAAATACCCATCTTTGTCTCTCTTTATCTTTGTTACCTTTAAATCTATTTTGTCAGAGGTAAGTATAGCTTTACCTGTTTTTATGTGGATGTTATTTACTTGGCGAATCATTTTCCACCATTTTACTTTGTCACTACCTTTGTCTTTGCAGCTTAGATATGTCTCCTATAAGCAGCATATGGCTGTGTTTTGATTTTTTATCCACTCTACTACTCTATGCCTTTTTATTGGTGAATTCAGACCACTTAACTTTAGGTTTGAGGATTTCCTATAGCTATTTTATATTCTGGGGTTTTGGGGAGTTTATTTTTGGTAGCACTGTGCCTCCATTTAGTTCTTTTCCTTTCTCTTTCTGTCTGTTGTTTTTGTCCAGTGGTATTCTATAACCTTTCCTCTGTTTACTCTTCCCCCCCCCCCAAATCTATGTGACCTGGTTTGGGAATTTTTGTGTGTTGCTACCATTAAGTTTATAAAAAATAAAGTTGCATATATACCTTTTTTTTTTAAATACATCTGATCTTCATCCTCCTTTGCCAGATCAGACCTTTACTCCCTCCCCTGTTAAAATTTTTGTCATCACTAACTATCCATGTTTCTGCTGTACTTTTTTTGATCTTACTCATAGTGTTGTAATTTTATGTTCTTTGTTTCAGATAGAATAAATCCCTTGAATATTTCCTGCAATGAAGGTTTTCTGGTGATAAAATCCTCAGATTCTGTATGTCTGGGAATGTTTTTATTTCTTCTTCAGATTTAAATGCTGGAACCAATTCCAGCATGTCATAATTACAAGAGTTTCATCAAAAGATTGATGGAACTTGAGGACTCAACAAGGGCTGAGTCACATATGTTATTGCCTGTTGGGAATGGCTAAAGGCATTTCCCCAAACCTGAAAAGGATGCATTACATTGATTGTTTGCTGCCAGACAGTTCAGGGCATCTTAATCTACATGTTATTGTCTCTTACTGGCCAAACACCTGAACAGCTGTAGGCTATTCCCTAATCTGACAATGCTTCTGTATGAAACCCTACCCTTTGAAGTGTATATCTCCACCTTGTCTTAGGACAATTTGTGTTAATAAAAAGCAAGGGGTCCTGAGACAAGGAGAACTTGGTTTCTTCAGCCAGGCTCCTCTGCCTCCCCCAATATGCCACTCAAACTTTTCTTTCATCTCTGTACTCTTAAGTTACACATAGTCTTTCTTCAGATGCTGAACCCTTCTTAATGCTGGGACAAGAACCCCAGCATTTAAAGGATAATTTGCTGGATATATTATGCATGGCTGATAATTTCTCTCTTTTAGGTATTTGAATATTTGGTTCCATTCTCTTCTGGTTTGTAGAGTTTTTGCTGAGAAATTGGATGAAATTTTGATAGGTCATTTCCTTCTTTTCCATAGAAGCTTTGAGAATTTTTTCTTTCTCACTATTTTTTTACAGTTTTAATACCAACCCTTGGAGAGGATCTCTTTGGATTAAGGTAACTAGGTTTTCTGCTTGCTTCTTGGATTCGAGGATCTAGTTCTTTTCATAGATTTGGGAAGTTTTCATCCACTATTTGTTTGTATAGACTGTACCCTGCTTCATTTCTTCTTCCTCTGCAATGCATATAATTATAATATTGCTTTTTTTTTCTGATGGATGCAGATAGTTCTCAGAGAAGTCTTTCATTTTTCTTTATGCTCAGG